AGTTTTTCAAAATCATTTTCAAGGGTTGAAAGACGTTTCTTTAGTGATTTGTTGGTTTTAGAAGCGCTAACAAATTCATCATAAAGTTCTCGAAGAGCTTCTTGCATCTCTTCAAGAGTGTAAGAGTCGGAAGAAGGGGTACATACCTCTTGAACGTCGTCGGTTTGATCTTCGTGCGCCATGAGGCAGAGGTTGGCGGCTTCCTCCTCTTCTTGATCAGTTGACTCGTCACCGGAGTCGCCACCCCATGAGATATAGGCTCGTTGCTTTTTGAAGCCAGGTTTGTCCTTGCCGCTTTTGCCTTTTGGACACCTCGGCTTGATGTGGCCTATCTCGCCACAGCCATAGCACTTCGGGGGACCGTCGTGCTTTCTTCCTTTGCGCTCAAATTCCTTCTTCATAAATTTGTGGAATTTCTTGATGACGAGTCCGAACTCGTTGTCATCATCGCTTGAGTCTACTTCCACGGTTTCCTTGGTTGCTTTCAGTGCAATACCCTTCTTCTTTTGTTCATCCAAAGACGGGGTTAGAACAGTGGATTCATAAGTTTTGAGGTTACCTCTTAACCCGTCGATGGTGACGTTGGAAACTCCGATGGATTCGTAGATTGCGTCAACCTTCGATCTTCATTCAGGAGTGAGACTCCTCAGGATTTTCCTCACAAGATCCTTGTTAGCGTAAGTCTTCTTGAGTGCATGAAGGTCGTTGATGATCTTTGAAAACCGATCGAACATATCGTCGATCTTTTCGCCTTCCTTCATCCTGAACATCTCGCACTCCTGCGTTAGGAAGTCAATTTTGGCTTCCCGAACTTGGTCCGTACCTTCATATGTGACCTCCAGCTTGTCCCACATTTCTTTCGCAGTGGTGCAGCAAGAGATCTTGCGATAATCATCAGGATTGACTGCACAGTACAGCATGTTGATTGCCTTGGCGTAGTTCTCCACCTTTTTGATATCCTCGGCATCAAATTCGTCCTCGGTCTTTGGGACGAGTTTTTCACCAACCTTCTTCGTTGGAATTTCCTCGCCATTCTTGATGACCAACCACAACTGAAAGTTGGTTGAGCGGATATAAATTCTCATCCGTTCTTTCCAATATGTGTAGTTGGTGCCATCAAAAAGCGGTGGCCTAGAGGTTGATTAACCTTCTCCAATTCCTGCATAAAGATTTCTAGAAGAAGAACCCATGATCGCTTTACTCTCAAACGGTTAAGTTTGGACGCGAGTTAGGCTCTGATACCAATTGTTAGAATAAAAGACCAACGCTAGAGGGGGGTGAATAGCGTTTGATCGTAGAAATCGCAGGATTTAAAAAATCAAAAGAGAAGTAAAGAGAAGAGTAAGAGGCACACCGAATTTTACCCTGGTTCACCACAACTTGTGGCTAATCCAGCCTCCCGAGAGACTCTCTCGAGCTACACTACTATCTCGTTAAGCTTGCAGGTGCTTAACAAACCGTTACAACTTGAGAGTTCGAGTCACACGAACCTCAACGTATCCTTCAAAGGAAACAGCCCTTCCTTTGAATCTACTGAGAGAAATACTTTCTCTCAAAGTGTCTAAGAACACGAATACACTCAAGAACGAGACTCTCTTATAGAGTAAATTTTGAGTAAACTAAGTGCGCTCAAGAACAACTCAACCTTCACACAAAAATGGCTCTAGAAAGCTATGGAAAGTGATGATATTTGAATGCAATGAAAGTATGAATGTTGTGAAGTGAATTGATGTGTAAAGCAGACCCAAACACCCCTTTTTATAGTGCAAAAATAGGCTCCAACGGACCAATGCATTAAAGGGGTGATTGGCTTGATTTATGGGATTGAAAAGNTTTGGGATCTGCAGAATATTGGCTTCCCATCGATGTTTGGAACCTACCCATCGCTGGTAAGCCAATTTTCCTTTAGTTTTGAAGCCAACGGTTACCTACCCATCGATGGGTACAAGCTTCCCATCGCTGGGTGGGAGGTTGACTTCCAAACAAGGAAAGAATCAACCTTAAATGACCTACAACGGTCATCCCTTCCCATCCATGGTATATCCTTACCATCGCTAGGTTCCCATCGATGGAATAGGTTTCCCATCGCTGGGCAAGGTCGTTCTGCCTTGTGATAATTTTGCACCAAGGCTTGAACAGCGATGGGTAGAACTTCCCATCGCTGTTTGGCATGGTTTTGGAAATTGGTTTGGCTAAGGGACCGCTTACCCATCGATGGGAAGATCTCCCCATCGCTGGGTGGGTGGTTAGTCAAGAACCCATGGTTTTTGCCTTAACCACGGCCTAGCCAACCGATGCAAAAACCGACCGAAAAATCCAAAGTTCTCCAAAATAAAAACCAAGTGTTTAAAACACTTATTTGATGTATTTGGCTAAGAAATTAAGTAAGACACTTTAAAAACCACGTGATTTGAGTGAAAACCACGGCTAGCCAAGTTCATGTCGTTTTGAATGATTTTTGTCAAACGACCAAAAGCGAAAGATGGTTTTCAAAGTGTTTTTGTTGGATAACCGTTTAATCATGCCAAAGAGTGAAAACCAATCATAAAAAGTTGAAAACCACTCGGTTGGTTCGGACGCCAAAAACCATAGCCGATAACCAAGAGCCGAACGCTGGTTTCTGAAACCCGAACGCTGGATGGCTTGGTTTTTGGTTTGGGCGAACACCAAGTGTTTTTAATGACTTAAACAAGTTTGAAAAACATTTTTATGATGTAAGAAATGCAGTGAAAGGTTTTAGCCTAAAGAGCCAATGCGTGAGGGTTGGGTCGGTCTTGATTACAATTATGACCGACTCAACAATACTAAAGACTGCGGTCTTCGTTCTTGGTCTCTTTTAGCTCTTGTTCTTTATCTTCGTTCTTCGCCTTGTATATTCAATGTTTGTCTTGATCACGGCGGTTTGGCATTATCAAAACCTGTTACAAAAAAAAACGAACACGGCTTTAGTACGAAAACGTGACATGCCCGTGTTTCAACATAGTCTTCCTCGTCCTTGTTCTTCCATGCCTTCCCAATCCTCAGTCTTTCGTCAGTCCAAGTCTGAGCGCGATGCTGAGGGCTCTGTCATCGGCTCCGCGCAGGACAGCGACTCCCGCTCGGCTTCCGTCGAGGAGATAGTCGCGGTGGTCAAGGTCCCTCCTCAATCCGAGCCTCGCAACCAGAGGCGGACCACCCTCGAGGACTCGGGGATCCGAGCGCGGAAGTGCACCCTTACCGGGGAGGAGTTCCGCAAGGCGAAGCGCCTAGCCTCGGTGCCGGGTGTGACCGTGCGCCGTCCCACCCCCGAGCAGTCAGTCTTTGACGCCCCTCCGGGTTTCTTCGCCATCCACCTCAAGTCCCTCGAGTATGGGTTCCGCTTTTCCCTCCATCAGTTAGTCAAAGATTTTTTCATCCACTTTGATTTTCTCCCCTACCAAGTCGTGCCCAAATCCCATCGATACTTGGCGGGGTTCCTTATTCAATGCCAAAGGACCGGGGTTCGCCCCGATCTGGCCCGCTTCTTGCTGCTCTTCCGGTTGGCGAAGTCGTCTGGCCGGGCGAACTCCAACTCGGGCTCGTATGCCTCCATCTTCCAAAGGCAAGAGAAGCTCTTCAAGACGCGGAAGGACTCCGCCAAGAGTTGGCTCGCTTGTGACGAACGAGGCGTTGGCGGCGCTCGGCTTCATCTTCCTGTCCCCGGAAGACACTTAGCGGAGCATCGAAGAAGGCCCCTCAGGTCAGTGCAATCTCTTACGCTCGGCCGTCCGTGGGTCGCGACTGCTTCGGATTTCCCCTCTTCTCTTCGCGACTAAGTTCTCGCCTCACCACTTGTCTTCTTTGGTTTTGTGCAGGTGAAATCATGCTCTCCAACGCCGAGCGGGTGAAGCTCATGTTCCTGGACGCTCCGAGCGGCAACTCCAAAGCTCCTACCTCGGGCGGCCGTCCCCCGACTCCACCCGTGAAGCCGACACCCGAGACGGCGCAGAAGAAGAAGAGGAAGGAAACGGCCTCGGCCGCCGACGCCCCGCAGGGGTCCGAGTCCCCCATGATGAAGGACTTCGGCCATCCTAAATACGTCAAGGCAGCCTTCCCCGCTCGGGTCTCCTTCCTAGATCGGGACTACGACCCGGAGACCTTCCTGCGCCGCTTCACTCCTCCAACTGATCGCGCCAAGATAAAAGATATCGACCGGGAGACTCTGGCCTCAGATACTTTCCACGAGCTGGGCTCGGTAAGTTTCCCTTGTCACACCTTACAAATGTAATTCATCTGTGGTGCTCACCCCTTTGTTATTTGCAGGCGATGTTGCGCATGGTTGACATGAGTCAGCGGCTGCGCGCCAGTGAGGATGACCGGAGCCGGGCTTATGTTGAGATAGCCGACCTCAATGAGGCGTTGAAGGCGGCCAAGGAGCAAGCTCGCCAGGCCGAGGAGCGGGCTCAGCAGCTCGCGGAGGAGGCTGCTCGCAAGGCGCGCCAGGAGGCTCGCGATCAGGCCGTGGCCGAGTTCATATCCTCGGGGGCGTTCCAGGATGAGGCCTTCGCCCGCATGGATGATCTACTCAAGGCCTGGGGGCAGACTCCCGAGGGGAAAGCCTTTGCTCGCTTCGAAGGGAAGTCGTGGTACAACCTTGGTCTGTTCCGAGCGCAGCAGGTCCTCTCCGATAGGTTCCTCGCCGGGATAGACTTCCCCGAACCATGCGACAACCCTGACGAGTTTGACACTTCCATCTACTACCCGAATGGCGGGGAACCGGCCGGCGAGCAGCCGAATGCCGAGTGATATGACTAAACTTTGTAGTATTTGATGTAATGCTGCTCAGAGCTTATTGTTTTTTGAATTCGGATTTTTTCTTTGTATGGATATATTATGCTTTCCCTCTTGCCTTTAATTTTACCGTCTTTCGTCGTTTCCGTTAACTTACGTGCTCGCCCATCCCCCATCCGACCTGAGCTCGGCCATGCCGAAGAGAGGTCACTTTGGGACTTGGTCCCTTTTCTGTCCCCTCGTTAACCGAGACAACCTTGGGACCTGGGACCTTTTGACCTTCCACCAGTTCGACCGTCCCCGTGCTGCCACGTGTACCTTCCTCCCTTTGGCAAGATGCCTATATAAAGGGGGGGGGGTCCTCACAATTTGTTTTCACTCATCTTTGAATTTCTTCAAATCTTGCCATGCCGCGCTCGGCACCCACTCCTCCCGATTCCAGTGAGATGCGAGGAGAGACGTTCTCCTTCGGCAGCTACTCCCTCGCGGGCTCTTCTGCCATTCCGACTGAGTCAGGGCCGAGCTCGACCCCGCCGCCCTCTCTGCGGGACTCTTGGGACTCGGACTCTGAGTCCGAGTCGGTGCACCCCGATCCTTCTGCCAAGATCCTGGGGTTCATCTACTATTCGTCGGAGGAGGACGAGAGGACCCCATCTCCGCCGGCTCCGTCGGCTCCGCCGGTCCGTCGTGAGGTCGCCGCTCACCCGTTTCCTGCCGGCTGCAGTGGCCAAGGTCGCTGCCCTCCAGCTCCTCCCTCAGCGGTTCCAAGCGAGAGCTACGTGGCATCCCACCATCCGAGCCGGTGCTCCCTTGAAGACCCAGGCTCGCCCAGCTATGACGAGTCTACCGGGCACTCCGTCATCAGTCGGGCTCCTTCACCTTCCTACCCCCCACCTTGCCCTTGCGAGCGGGGGTGGAATTGTGGCATGCATTGAAGTATACCCGTACTTTAGTTGCAAGGTGTTTAATTATTGTAAGGCGTTTGTGCCATGTACTTGCCCGTTTTCCGGGATGAATAAAATTTGGATTTGTTTAAGTCTTGTTTTCACTTTTCGCCATTAGCCTTAAGGGTTGCGCTCCGCCCTCCTCCCAAGGGGGTGTGTTGAGCACAGGTTCGCGCTCGGCTCTTCCCCCTGAGGTGGAGTGCCGAGCACGAATGTTTGACTATCCGGGAAAAACGTCGGGGTATGGTCTGCGCTCGGCTCTTCCCCTGAGGAGGAGTGCCGAGTACGAAGGTTAGACCTTTATCCGTGAAGAGCATCCGGATATGGTCTGCGCTCGGCTCTTCCCCTGAGGGGGAGTGCCGAGCACGAATGTTTGACCTCCATCCGGGAAAAACGTCCGGGTATGGTCTGCGCTCGGATCTTCCCCTGAGGAGGAGCGCCGAGTACGAAAGTTAGACCTTCATCCGGGAAGAGCATCCGGGTATGGTCTGCGCTCGGCTCTTCTCCTGAGGAGGCGTGCCGAGCACGAATGTTTGACCTACATCCCCTATTTTGGGGGCCGTGTACATTCGAAATCTATTGATAAAACTGAACCAAGTTCTCGGCATTCCATGTCCTGGGCACATCTCCTCCACTCGGCGTCTGCAGGCGGAACGTCGAGGGACCTGTAACACCCTAATCCGTCCAGGTCTGCAGCCCCTTTCGGACTAAAGTATTAACTTGGTAATCGTAAAATTTAAAACATTTCAAATACTTTTATTCATCATAAGTATTGTTTAATATATAACTGTAGCAAAATACGGAATGTTTAACAATAATGCGGAAGCAATTTAAACCATGTTTAATAACAACACAATTATTTATTTTAAAATCACAAATTCTACCACGACAATCTCGCCCCTTCCGCTGCCAGGAACATGCCAATCATTCATTTTGTCTACCTGCGTGTAGCAAATAAAACATACTACACGCTCAGCGATGAAGCTGAGTAGGCATATCTAAAGCGTCGAACATCCACATAAATTGAATCTCAATTCACAAATAACCATTTGATATCATGCACACAATATATAATTCATTCATGATATTTTCAATATTTCAATAATCAACATTCATATTCAATATTCAACAATATCCTTAACTAAGCTTAGTCTAAGGCCAATCTTTTGATGCTTACCAACTCTTAAACTATTTCTAGTTCAAGGTACTTCTAACCAACTCTTAAGCTAGGTCATTAGTTTAAGGTACATATTCCGATTGATTTACCAACTCTTAAACTAGCCTTCGCTTGAGGTACAAATCCAGAAAAAACCGAACAGTAGAATACTAACTTTCGGGTTGGGTGGTATCCCCAAACGAGTTCCTCTAGTTTGGTTTATGGATCCCGTACGTACGTTTTTACCCAAGGCCATCGAATATACATATTTATACCCGCAAGGCCCAATCTAATTTGAGGTCTACCTTAGAGGTCTTCGAGATAACCTTAACAACACATCGATTTCGTGATCATCATTATATTCAATTTTAATAATGATTTAATCATTAATAATAATCCTAATCAGTAAGTTTATCATTCATAATCATCCATAATAATTATTTATCATAAGGATCATTAAACACAACGCTTAATAACAAATAACGGTCTAGTCTCGAGTGTTAACACCCGAACTTACCGTCATGCATCACATAATGTTTTAATTTGTTAAAAACATCATTTTTATTGTGAAAAATCATTTTTATAATAATCATAATCAATTGGTATCAAAAATAGGATTTTAGAGCTCAAAAGTAGCAATTTCAGACAAATTTTCGGACCAGAGTTTCGGAGGATCGATCCAGGCAGTGTGATCGATCAGGGCAGTGTGACTAATCAGGGCAGTGTGATCGATCCAGGCAGTGTGATCGATCCAGACAGTGTGATTGATCAGGGCAGTGTTATCGATCCAGACAGTGTGATCGATCCAGGCAGTGTAGTTTCAGGTTACTGTTCATCTTCTTCAACCTTGCGACCCCAATTCCGAAAATTCTGTTTTTGGTTTGCAAAATTCAATTAAACTATATAGAGATGTTCTCCAAGGTTCATAGATGATATTAGAATTATTAAAACATATTTTTAACATCAAATTCAAGGTTTATGATTCTTGGTTCTTCAAACATCTCAAACACAAAACTCAACCAAACGACCGTTTATGAACGTAGAAACGATCTATACGAACATTCTAGTCACTAGATATATCAACGGGCTTACCTCGAAGCTTAATGGAGGTTTTGAAGATTTTCCGGCGAAACTTCCGGCGAGGATTGTGGCTAGCTCCGGCGACCTCACACAAAGATGACAGCATCGCTGCGTTCTACACACTCAAAGCTAACTTTCAGAAGTAATTTGGGAAGAAATGGTGAAGAATTGGGTAGGAAGAGGTGGTCCTTATATAGCCTTAGTGAAGAGGAAGCAGACACGGTGATGACCTCCTTTCGACTGTTTCGGCGGCTGAGTGGAGTGGGCTGCTATCTTCTCCGATCTAAACGTAAGTCCCTGATTGGGACTAAATTGGTCCCAGTCGGGAACATTTTTTGGTCCAACTTTCTCCGAATTGAACTCCAATTGAACCGTTGTGATCGTACAATTAAACTCTATCCAATGATATGACTTTTATATTTATTCGTTATACTTTTTCTGACATCATATTTGTGGGTGGTTGACTTTGACAGAGTCAAAATTAATTTGTTTGACCTTTACTCAAAAAGGTGCTCATATTCAATTCATATTTATTTCAACAAATCATTTCAAAGTTCACATTAAAAAACGATTTCTTTATTTATTCTTAATTTGGGCCTCTACATAGGTTTCCAATCAAGATCACACAAAAAGTCAACTAATTGGATTTATCTCTATGAGATTTATCCTGATTGTGATATTGGATATCAAAACACATTTTATTTCGGCTCAAGGCCCAATAACAATTTATTTTAATCAAAACATTTTTTGTTTAATTGGATATTTAATTCAATAAATTTTAGGGTATATTTTGGGGCGTTATAGGACCTACCACTTCTTTGATGATGTAAGGACCTTCGTAATTCTTGGCAAATTTTACACCTTCTAGGGGGCGGCTTACGGACCTCTTGCGCAGCACCTAGTCTCCTTCGATGAACCCCCCGTGCGCGCACACGCCCGTCATGGTAGCTCTTAACCTTCCTTCGGTAATTCTCTGCTGATACGTTACAAATTGTCACATTTTATTTGGTCATACTTTAGTTCTTTATTATATTTTTAATGCATTTTATGTTGAAATAAATTACATAATGAAATATTTAGCTTTTTAGGCTACTTGTTATATTTTCACACTAAAATCATAAGTTGGGTAAAGTTTTTATTTTATTTCATGTTGAAATTAATTTCTCTTATATGTATTTTCAGATATAATCTTTGGAATAAAAAAATGGATGTTAAATTCAAGAGATGGAGACTTCGGCCAAGCTTTAATGGATTAAAGAGTGCAAGTTTTTGATCCAATTGCTATACAAATCCAACCCAACCCACATTAAACCTAAAAAAAAAGACAAACATGATGGATATAAAGAGAAGAGCCGCATCTCAAAGGAAGGAAGGGCTGGAAACGGAAAAAAAACGGAAGAACGGAGAGCAGCTTCAAGCGGCGGCAATGCTCTCCCGCGAGTCTTCCGACCTTCAGTGACGGCGGCGACGAATCTGGAGCGGCACTGCAACAGCACGGCCCTTCTTCTTCCTCCAATTTCAGTGTTTAATTCTTCCCTTCTTCTTTAATTATGTCAAGTTTTACTATCAATTTTGTTGAATTTTACATTATGTTTGGCTAAACTCCATAGCTAGG